AGTTCTTTCACGAAAACTTTCCAAAAGCCCACACATGGTCAACTAGGAACTGCCTTAGCTCTACAGATATAAACTGCTGCAGAGGTGGAAGAAGAGCATGGTAGGCAAAAATGGACCATCCATCTGAGTTACCTTTACTCCCTGCCATTTCCTCCAGTCTGGCCACTTGCAGTCAGACTAGCAAATAGGACCTTTGTATACAGTTCTGGTGGGGAAGCAGGATTCCATCCTAACAAATGGTTTCTTACCAGACCACAGGAAGAAGCTAACAAACAAGATACCTTTCAGGCTCTTAGTACATTTTTGAGGCAGGGAGAAGGGCTTTTGTAGGCATGAGATGGAGCAAAAGGACTTTAAATGTGGATAGGTGTGTATGCTGAAGAACTCACACTGAGGAAGGCAGAGATGGAAACTCTAGCTCTGCTGGGGCATGACAGTAGAGCCCTAAATAGAGAGGGCTGAGCAAGATGGTATCAGTGAAGAGAGGGGCAGAACTACCCTAACTGCTACCTCTCTGAAAATAGGAGGCAATTAACCTAGTGGGTTCTAAGAGCTAATGCAGTAGGAGCCTGTGGGACAGAAGGCCTCCTCACAGAGGCAGAACAGAGTGTCTGTAGTTCTCCTGAGGCCAAGGGAGTAGGTGCTACACCTTTTCCCTTCAGAGGTGGGGTAGAGAAGCCAAACTGAAGCTCACAGGTCAGGGAGCCCAGTCATACCAGGCCAGTGCTGCCCAGAACTGATATGCACAGATGGAGGAAAAGTTCAGGGCCTGTGACAGGACTCCTGTATCACATCCCCAGTATCATTCCTATCCACTGGATGGAGGCCCATTCCAGCAGTACAAGATGGGTCACCACAACAAGGAGGTCCACAGGCTGATCGGCTGTTGCTCACCTTCTTTGCTTTCTAGCCCTATTTCCCGTGGGGTACAAACAGCAGGAGGCAGGGTTTGACTGGGACTCTGAGCTGGATTCAGGCTGTTTCCATCAGGCTGGTCTTTGGCTCTCATTTCTTCCTGCCAGAGTGTGGATTTGGTGGTAGGGACTTTCTCGGCACTGGGAATGCTGCTACCGCCGCTGCCGCCACTGCTGCTCGTGACAGCCATCTTAGCAGGCCCAGGCTCCTGGAGAGAGAGCAAGGCAGAGGGGGGAATGGCAGCGTATGAGCACATAGCTGGAGCTCGCTCATGGGTCCAGGCTGCTAAATTATAAGGAACACAAGGCCAGTAAAACAGTATTGGAGGATGGGAAGCCATTCTTTCTTGATTGTTCTTTGAGGCTTCACAGTACCTTGTCCAAGGGACCTTGCAGAAGGAAGGTCCTGGGTTTCTACCAGAGCCATGTTACCAAACATGTAGAAGCTCTCTCTGTGTATTTCCAGACAGTGCCTGGAATAGCAGCCCAGTTATTAAGGGTGAGCCCACAGGAGTTGATTTAGAGTCTGTCATTCCTATACTCACAGGCACTTGAGACATAAACAAAGGGAGACAGGACAAAACAAAAGAGAACACTCTTCTGAGATAGGCCCATTGCTACCAAAATCAATCACTGGGGTAAATGCAGAGAGTGGATTCCACATCGCCCTGTGGTCCTGCCCACTCTTAAGCTTAAATGGAATACGAGGGATGATGTGAAAGAGCTATTGAAATAAGACAAATGTTAAGGCCTGAACAGTTGTTCATTCACATTAGAAATCCTATCCCATGGTTGGGTGGAGATGACACACACCTTTAATGCCAGCACTCAGGTGGCAGAGGCAGGCTGATCTCTGAGTTTGAGGCCAGCTTGGTCTACAGAGAGAGTTTCAGGACAGCCAGGGCTATACAGAAAAACCCTGTCTCGAACAACAAAACAACAGGAACAACAAAATGTCAAAAAAAAAAAAAAAATCCTATCTCATGATGATGATTTGTGGAGGTGGAACCTTTAGGATATGGTTAGGTTAGTCCTCATGAATGGAATTAGTACTCTATAAAAGAGGCCCAGGCTACCTACTTTGTCTCTTCCACCATGTGAGAGAGGACTAGGTAGTGGGCCCTCATCAGACACCGTATCTGTTGGCACTCTAACCTTACACTTCCTAGTCTCCAGAATTCTGAGAGGGAAAAAAAAAAAAAAAAAAAAAAAAAAAAAAAAAAAAAAAAAACCAATGTCTATTGTTTAAGCAACTCCGTCTGTGACATTCTATGAATAGCATCAAGGATCATGTGAGACACACAACATCCCACTCAAACCTGCACCCACACCTGCCACATGCACACCGTGTTCTCATGCACAAGCTGTCCCTGATTGGGAGCCCAAGTCATTTTCCAGGTTCCCTGGGGCAGATATGGCTCTGAGGGAAAAGGGTTCATGGGGCAGGCTAAACTCAGTAGACACAGAAATCCAGTTTCTAAGTAATTAGAGAGTTGGACTCTTTACACGTTGAGCCCAGATAAGGGCAGGATGGGAATTCCAGCTGTCCTGTAGTGCCTACTCTTGTCCTGTGCCCAGCGATTCATTCTGCTGAGGGGGCTCCCAGAGGATGGTGTCAATTACTATCTTGCCACAAAGAGGTGGTAAAATATAAATATCCACCTCCCACTCTCATCTGCTCTCATGACAGAGAACTGGGCCTGACCCATACATCTGACCCAAAAGGAGCTTGTTCTTTCTCCTTTATAATAGTACTCTGTCTTCTGGAGGATGGGTGAAGTTCCCCCATCCTTGGGCAAGATCCTTTTGTTAAGTCTCAAACCCTGGCACAAATAGCTGAGGTGATTTTAACATATCAAAGCCAACCTGGCCTCATTCCTCAGTCCCTCCCAGTTACAAGGTATGGCTGGCATACCCAACCCCGTACCCTAAACGTCTCCCCCAGAGGCTCTTCCCTATACAATCCAGCTATTTTGGTTATCTACCTCTTTTGTACCTTAGGTTGCTGCCCCTATTGTCCTCCCACCCCCACAGCCCAGCTCTGTCTGCTCATGTCTACTCTGGACACTCCCAGATGTTTCTACCTCTGGCTATCTCTCCCACGTATCTATAATAAACTTTCTACACCATACCTAGGAGCCATGTCCTTTCCTTTCCTTTTTATTTGCTTTTTCTTCTGAGCAGATGGATGAAAAATCTAATTGGGTGGATGTGGTCACAAAGTAGTATAGAGGCTCACACTACACAGAGCCATCCTTGTAGGCACCTAGGTTCACTGTACCATGTCCTCAGACAGCCAGTTGTCATGTTCATGCTGTTAATATCATGATGAACCCTGGCTGCTATCATAGGCACTCAGAAGGGCTTGTAGAGTCAAGGGAAAAGAGAATGAGCTCTCTCCTTCTCTGGCATGAAAATGGAACAGGGGCCACAGTGAGGAAGAAGGGTCCTGCCTTGAAGCAGAGGATAGCAGAGACCCTCTAGAAACCAAGAATCCTAGGGAAGGACAGGGAAATGCTCAACATATCTAGATACAGATCAAAGGCATCACCCAGGTCTCTGCCAAGGGCCTAGAGCCTGGGGGGTGGGGTGGGGACTGGCAAAGAAGAGAGCCACTCTCCCACGTTCCATGTGGGCAACAGACCTGTGGAGAGCTAGGGACATCCTTGCTGTCACCAGGCTTGGGGGGACTCCCACTTCCCTCTACTCTAGGCCTTCTCTCAGGAGTATATATATGGTGCCAACACCTCTTCCATCCAAGTTTCTTCAGGATCAAGCTGAATTTAGCTGTAACGGGTAGAAACCAAGGCTTCCAGTACTCAGTGGTCTAAATTGAAACTCTTCTAGGCTTGTGCCGGTTTATGGGAGAGGGGTGGAAATAGAGCTTCATGCTCACCCACAAAACCGTAAGGGCCACACAAATGCTTTTGGCAGCAGGGTGTGTGTGTGTGTGTGTGTGTGTGTGTGTGTGTGTGTGTGTGTGTGTGTGTGCAGCAGGGTGT